CTTTATACAACAGTATACTAACTAACGTATATATTGTCTTTATACAACAGTATACTAACTAACGTATATATTGTCTTTATACAACAGTCTAATAACTAATGTATATATTGTCTTTATACAACATACTAGCTTCTATGGTTTATGGCAGTTATTTTGGTGTAAAATTAATAGCTTTGAGAAAAACTATTAATCACCAAGGGTGTTCGAAGATTAGTAATCCTCCTACACCCTGCTCGAGGTAAAATATTAGTCCAAGTGGGCGAAAAAATGATGATAATAAATAAATAAAGATGATAATAATAAGAAAAATAAAATAATAAAATAAAAATATCTAATGCATATATATATACGTACACACACACACATACATACATACATACATACGCAGATAATGATGAGGCAATTTGGGCGGAAGTGAAGGCGTAGTAGAGGCAAGTTGTTCTTGTAGAGGAAACAAGTCGACAGCGATTTTTGACAATGTATTGAAACAAACTGAAGCAAACGGGCCTTTACTGGGCCTGGCAGGGATCAATGGACCCAGGTGCCATGGTTGGGATTTATAGATCCAATGCCTAACAGTTTGGTGTGGGGGAAACGGGAGTACCCTGAGAAAACCCACTTTCATCAGTCGGGACAGAAAAAAATCCCGGCTGGTGCCCGAGTGAAGAGATGAAGATCTGAAAAGTGAAATAGTTATACATAAGATATAATATACTCTTTTTACTTTTACAGATCATGGTGGTATGTTAGTAATGTTGTGTATCATGTTGTATGAGGATAGGTATTTGTGGTGGTGTGTTAGTAATGTTGTGTATCATGTTGTATGGGGATAGATATTTGCACCATGGTTTGGGGGTAGCAGCAATTTTGTGAAATTCGGCTGTGAATGAATTCCGGTAGGTGGCTTTTTTGTAATATTTAGTAGCAAGTTTAGATATGCGTTGTTGTACTGTATGTAGTGAAGTGTGTTTTTCCACGTAGCATGCTGGAGTGTAGTGAGGGAGGTTGTTGGCAAGACGTATTACACGGTTTTGGAAGTTTTTAAAGTATCATACGTTGGTTGTGATTCATGTTACCATTGAGCCATAGTCTATTATAGGTCTTGTAAATGTACATTATTATCTGTGGTCTACATCCGTGAGTTTGATGACTTATTTTGTGAAGGTAAGCTATTCTGGTTTTAATTTTCTTACTTCTTTCCTTGAAATGTGTTAGTTTATGGTTGATATTTATGCCTAGGAATTTTGCAGATTTAGGGAAAGAGATGGGGGTATTGTAAATATTTAGTTTAGCTAATCTGACACGCTTTAGTCTTTTGTTTAGCCTTCGGAAGAGTATGATTGCTTGAGTTTTTGTGGGATTACGTATTATTCTCCATTTGTTGCACCACTGTGTGATTTTGTCGAGGGCTTTTTGAATTTTCTTTGCTGCTAGTGGGGTCCCAGGAGGTGCTCCATAATGCTATGTCATCAGCGTATTGTGATGCGTGCGTGAGGGGCGTGGTTGGCTGTTATACATCGTTAACGAAAAGTGTATACTGTGTACAGACCCCTGCGGTACATCTGCATTAAACGTGAAGGGTTGTGAAAGTGACGTGTTAATTTTAACTTTCGTGGATCTATTATCTAGGAAGTTAGATATCCATTTAGTGAATGTGATTGGTATTTTGTGCTTCATTATTTTGTATTTGAGTCCATTGTGCCAGACCGTGTCAAAAGCTTCTTGTACGTCCAGGAAGGTGGCAATAGTGGCTTGTAATTTATTGAATCCAGTAAATGTGGTTTCTATTAATCGTACGAGGTGTTCTGCAGTCTGTCTGTTTTTGCGTCCTGCGTTCTGACTGTGTGACAGTGTAATAATGGCTGGAGACGGCTTGAATGGGTAATGAAGAAAAACATTAATATAAGTTTAACATAACAGCAAATGTACAACGTTTCGACAAAGTTTTGTCATCATCATTAGTCTCAAAGTGGGTTCCTCGTCATCGAATGTGTGACAGTATATTGTTGTTTTCTAGCATCCATATTAACCTTGTTATAATTTTCTCTAAAAGTTTGCCTGTAGAGTTGATTAAGCTGATGGGTCTGAAGTCACTAGTGTTAACTAATTAACGTATATATTGTCTTTATACAACATACAAGCGTTTACTAACGTATATATTGTATTTATACAACATACAAGCGTTTACTAACTAACGTATATATTGTCTTTATACAACATACAAGCGTTTACTAACTAACGTATATATTGTATTTATACAACATACAAGCGTTTACTAACTAACGTATATATTGTCTTTATACAACATACAAGCGTTTACTAACTAACGTACATATTGTCTTCATACTGTTGCGTCATCGAGATCATATGATTCTCACGCTCTCTTGTTTCTAGAACTATCCCGTATCTTGGCGAATGCTCTAGTATTTGCTAGATAGGGTAGGCTGGTATATAAAAGAGGGGAATGTAGTGTGTGTGTAGACAGTGAGTAATTGAACTGCAGTCAGAGAGCACGAGAGACGTTACAGCGTTTGTTTAGCGCGATTGTTGAAGTTGAGTGTATTGGTAAAGTTATATTCGGAAATAATAAACCAGTTTTATTAAGAAAGGACTTGTGTCGCTTAAGTTTCGTCGGAACGAAGTTACGTAAAGTTAATTAACAAACGGAGACGTAACAAATTGGTGTCAGAGAGTGGGATAAAAAGAAAATGGAAACGAGAAGCGGCAAGTCAAACTGCAGCCTAGCAGACTTAATGGCAGCAATACAAGAACAGCAAAAGAAACAAGAAGAGAGACAACAATAGTTTTTTTCCTCTAACAACTGCTGTAATTTCTCTTCTTGTTTATTTTCTCCTCCAACAACTGCTGTAATCTCTCTTCTTGTTTCTTTTCTTTTTCCTCAAATAGCTGCTGTAATCTCTCTTATTGTTTATTTTGTTGTTCGAGCTGCCACTGTTGCAGGTTTTATTGCAACTGCTGTTGTCTCTCTTCTTGTTTCTTTTCTTTTTCCTCTAACAACTGTTGTAATTTCTCTTCTCGTTCTTCTTGTTTCTTTTCTTGTTTAATTTCTCGTTCTTCTTGTTTCTTTTCTTTTTCTTCTAACAACTGTTGTAATTTCTCTTCTTGTTTATTTTGTTGTTCGAGCTGCCATTGTTGCAGGTTTTCTTGCGGAAAAGAAACAAGAAGAAAGATTACAGCAGTGGCAAGAAAACCTACAACAATAGCAGCTCGAACAGCAAAATAAACAAGAGAGATTACAGCAGTTGTTGGAGGAAAAAGAAAATAAACGAAAAAGAAGAGAAATTACAGCAGTTGTTGGAAGAGA